TATATATATATATATATATATATACACACACACACTAGAAAATCCTTGTTTTACTCATATTTCAAAAGTTTATTTATTATCGATATTGGTTGAAGAATTACTAAACAAGATTCTAGGAACAAGTACATTTATCCAGATCCAAATAGATATTTTCTAATACTTCTATAAAATACACTTAGCTTTTCATTCCATTTTTTATTTTTCATTTATTGAAATGTTGACGATGTATTTGTATTACTGTACCCAGAAAACTACAACATATGATGTAGGCCTGCACAACATCATAATTGAGAGGGCTTTCATTTACTTATTCTAAATCCAAATAGATATTCTCTAATACTTCTATAAAATACACTTTGCTTTTCATTCCATTTTTTATTTTTCATTTATTGAAGGGAAAGGTTTCTATACTTCCCCTACAGCATACAAGATCTATGCTTCCCCTACCATCCAGCCGTCCAATTTTGATCAAGAGAGCCACTCACCGTTTGATCTTAGATCCGACATCTCAAAGTATTTTATTTTTAGTTTTTTTTATACAAATTGTATGAATATGAAATTTGGTACGTGCCATCTTCTCATTGGGGCGCATCTATAAAAAATATTAAAAATAATTTTTCGATAAAATATAATGACCAAAATACCATGTGAACTTTCAGGGGTATTTTGGTACGTGCCATCTTCTCATTTGGTACGTGCCATCTTCTCATTGGGGCGCACCTATAAAAAATATTAAAAATAATTTTTCGATAAAATATAATAACCAAAATACCATGTGAAACTTTCAGGGGTATTTTCGTCATTTTATTTTATTGGAAATATTGTTTTTATATTTTTGCTAGTGCGAGTTTAATAGAGGATTGGACGTCCAAAATTTGGTGTCAAAATAGTTTATAGAAAAAAATTAAAAATAAAATAGTGTAGAGGCGTGACATTGTGATTGGGGCAAATCTTAACCCTCCATTCAAAATGGAGGGTTGGATAAGGGGAAGTATATAAGCTTTATGCTGTAGGGGAAGCATAGAAAGCTTGCCCTTTATTGAAATGTTGACGATGTATTTGTATTACTGTACCCAGAAAATTACAACATATGATATAGGCCTGCACAACATCATAATTAAGAGGGCTTTCATTTACTTACTAAATACTTCTGCAAGTACCTTAATTGAGAGAGCTTTCATTGATCAACTCTGACGAGCACAAACATCTCGAAAGGATTTATTATGAAGTTTTATTTACTATTTGTACTATAAACACTCCTCCCCCCCCACCCCACCCCAAACCCCCCCAAAAAAAATATAAAATATAAAATATAACATAAAAAATAAAAAAGGGGAAAACCTACCCTCCCCTTTCCCTGTTTCTTTTCCTCCTCTCTTTCACGTTGCTTGTACCTAGTTGATATTGATATGCAGAATATTAAGAGTTGAAGTTTACTATGAATTTAAGTCGATAATTTTGTGTTTAATTTTTACAAATAGCTATTTTAAAATTTATGTAGGCCTTTATTTATAAATGCCAACAAGTCGTAAAATCACCATGGAATGGTGAGTAGCCAATTCTTGACTTGCTGAGTATCCAACCAGTAAATGCCAATTCCTCTTTGGGTTAATTAGAAGGAAAGCTCTAGAGGACCAATTGAGGAAGTGGTCAGCTCTTATGATTACAGGTCCATTATGTGGTCATAATGGAAATGTAAGATGCCTTAAGGAAAAGGAAGGCAATTCTTTACTGACCAAAAAAATAGCAACAGAATCTAGATAAGAAATCGATAAAGTTAAGTAGGTCATAATGGATATGAATGTTACCTTTAAAAAAGGATGACATTAAATTTAATGCTTTTAAGATAAAGTACTTTTGAGGTTACCATACTTAGAGAATGGACTAGGGCCTTGGCGGTAGTACTACCATCCCCCGTGGATGAAGTCTTGGACTCCATTCTCACCAAAGGATAGGGTCCCAAATCCCCACTAACTTTACCCCTTTTCAGAATGGCTTAGGGCTTTGGTGGCAGTATTGCTGAGCCCCATGGTGAGGTCTCTGACTCCATTCTCACCAAAGGGTAGGGGCCCAAATCCCCACTGACTTACCACCTTTTTAGGGGAAAAAGCCTGGGCTTAATTGGTTAGTGCTTGACTATTTGCACTGCTACGTTCTAGGCTCAATTTGTATCAAGGGTAGGGGCCCTCTCCTCATTGACTCACCAAAATAAAGGTTACCATACTTGTGGTTTCCCTGAGGCTAGCAGCTTGATAATCAATTTCCCTAAGGATTATAAATAAAAAAAATGATTGAAGCACTTTAATTGGGGTGAGATTTGTATAAGGTGCCCAACTTATACTATACAAGTAAGGCACACCTTTTAATTTTGTTGGAAGATGTATTTCCGGTATCAGAAACCTTACAATGGGTTTAAATTAATGTTCAACCCTAATCATGAAATTTAAAAGTCTAAAAAACAATGTAAATAAGTAGATATATAAACATTTCAAAATCTTGAAAATAGATGGTCCAGATAACTTATTATAAGATGAACTATTTTCAGGACTTGAAATTCTTTTTTTTTTTTTCTTTGTATCATACATCTCGAGGTTGAAATGATCAGTTGGAAGGTTTTCCAACTCCAGATCACTTTTTTCAATTGGAACTTTGAGGTGCACCTTACTTCCATAGTGTAAGGTTGCAACCTTATATAAAATATTTCTTTTTAATTGATTATTATTAAAAATCATACTTATCATTATTCTTAGATAGAATTTTATTTCACAAAAATTATGTAATAATTAGTTATGGGTTTTGCAATGTGAAATTAGTTATAATTTTAATTCCTTTTTTAAGTAAATACTTATTAGTTTTACCATATTTCTTAGAAAGGAAAAATTCTTATCCTCCCCAACTCAACTTTTGAGGTGGATGAGAGACCCAAAAACAGGTTCTATTATCACCCACAAATAATGACCCTCCAAATAAGGTTAGATTTGGAGCTCCAAAAAAGTTCCAGATCCTTAGATTCATGCATTTTTGGAGCTCCAAGCCTTTCTTTTTCTCTCCCCCCTTTTCCAAATAAAATTTGATATGGAGCTCCAAAAATCCACCAAATCCAATAGACCTAGTGCCCATTCAAATTGAACGATCTTAACTTGATTTGCTGGCAGAAATAGATTTGGAGCAGTTTTGGACCCTCAAATCAATATTTTCTTTAGGATATTGTTTTCGGTGTGAGGAGACTGGTATGGAACTTTTTAGATCTCTCACATATCTCAAAAGTGGTTTATCAGGTGGAGTATTAAATCTTCTGCTCCTTGGAACGCATAAAGTTTTATCATACATGTTTATGGTATGTGCTGCCATGATGCCCCCAGATAGGGGACCTTTTGCCAGTGCCAATCCCCTAATGCCAAGCCTATTTCTGCTCCAAACGATTTATGTATGAACCCATTTTTCACAAACATAATGGACAGAATAAACTGGCCCTAACCTAGCTTGAATCAACTAAAATTCAACATAAACAAGCAATAATAATGTACACGTATATGCCCATCTAGAGCTAACTGCATAGCAATTTTGCAGTTAGATTGTAAGGAGGCTTTTCTTTTTAGCTCTTATCAATCTTTATAGCTTGAAAGAAATCAGAACATGGATTAAGACACTCAATAAACATTACAAAAAGGAAAATGGATCCCACATAACTAACAGATGGCATGAAGGTGAGCCTATTCCATATCCAGGTATATGCTGCATCAATGGCCTTTCTATGCACATGCTGGGGGAATACCTTGGGAAGCTGATAGCTCATTATTCCCAACCAATTTCTGCAAGACTCCAAGTTCCAAAGGTTAATGGCTAGCCAATACAATTACATTATGAAGCTCCCTTTAAAAGAAGCACTAGATTCCTAAGGCCATAGAGAAGAGCTCTAAAAGGTTAAGATGGAGATGAAGATCCTCAGTTGAACATCTATTCTATCATTTTTTGAGGTATAATGGTCAGAAATAAACTAAGGCACCAAAATAACACAAGAAAAACTGCATAAACTGTGACCAGTTGAACCTCTACAATTGCAATATTCGAAAAGAGATTGAAAACTTATTCAAAATTGCAAAGTTGAAAACTGGAAAGTAACAAAACTAAATATCTTTGCAAGATTGCAACCAATGTGAAAGACATAAAGAAACTAGGACACGAGCACTCCATCTAAGTGACAACATGGAGAGAACTAGCATTCAAAGAGAAACTATAGATGATTGCATTTTTACAAATCTCTTTCCCTATACATGAACTAAATACATACATTAGTAATCTAAACAAATAATAAATACATAGAGCCTCTGCCCATGTCCTAGATATTTGAGCTGCATGCAGCTGATATTTTAGAAATCATACAATGTGAAAAATTGAATAAGATACAGATAATTAGAAACATGAAGTATCAATACAATACAACCATAGTAACAATAAAGAGGGCCTACTATGCAGAGATAATGATAAAAAGGGTTTACTATGCAGCAATAACTAAGCCACAAATTGCATGAGGCCACAAATGAAATTCTCAATAAACTGAAAAGAACATAAGGGGAATACTAAGTCTTTCTGCCTTATTTAACATAAAAGCAGTATGGAAACTTGCCTGTACTGAGATGCCAATAACTTATTGGAGTCGAAAACCGTCGTGCCACGAGGAAACGAACATCTTAGCATGCACTGAGGACGAATCCCCCATTGTACTACCCATGTACCTCCACACGGCACAAGTGCCATTAAATTATTGTTCGGAGAAGGATAACAGCTTTTGATTATTGACTATCCCCAATATCTTCGTAATCAGTTGGTTTCAAGTTCAACTGCAAAAGAAGTACACAAGAATAATCCTCGTGACAATATAAAATAAGTCTTTGGGTGAATGGGTAGAAGGAAAACAAAAAACAAAAAACAGAGGAGACTTTTCATGTTTTTAACTAGGAACATATTATAGCCACACAAGAGGAAAGGGGGGGGGGGGGGGGATTGGTAACATATACATGATTAACAGTCAAAATGGGAGGGCACGATTCTTTTGAAACAAACAGTTTATTCCCAAAATGTTTTCAAGACACATGGAATGAGAGCAAACCATGATGCATAACTACGGAAGTATATAAGGATAAATAACCAATCAGATGAACACAAATCTGGTTCTCAGGGGCTTCAGATGTACAGGATAACAAGGGGGTGAAGAGTTTTAGACATTAAATAAACCCCAATACCCCCTCCACCGACCCCCTAAAAGAATGGATTACAAGAGCTGGAACACAAACGTTCCAGCTTTAGGCCACCATGGTGCATTTATGCACATGTATACCAAATAAATAAAGCAGAATACTAGAATTAACCAATAGGTAATCTCATATGCAAGCAAAGAGTTATCACACTACTGGTGCACACTAAGACGCTCATATTTGGATACCAATTTCAAAGAACTTCAGGGCAGGCTCACTGCCCTGCGTAGCTTACAGAAAAATCATATCTTCAGAAAAGCAAGACAATCCTATTCTTTAAAGATAATGAATAGATTAAAAGATTTCCCAAACATCATGCATATCGATTTTACCTTCTATTAACATACATTTCATGAAACACTTAACCTGCAAATTGAAGAAGCATAGATAAATGAAGTAGAAACTGAAGCTCTACTCTATAATTATAAGAAAGACTTATGAAGGAATGACACATTCCACACAAGTCTCAATAAGAAACATAAATTGTAATCTATGGAAACTCGAACCCATTCACAGAAAAGCACTCCAAAAGACCATAAAGCAGCAACGACAAACCCCATTTCCAAACTGTAACCTACTTCTCTACAAAAACCATAAATCAGCCACACAAAACCCCATTTCCAAACTGTAACCTACTTCTTACTCCCTCAAAACAGAAATAAATTTCCTCCTCTTCTTCACTATAATAACACAATTATCAAAACATTGACCTCACACCCCAATGAAAAAAACGAGGAAAAAGGAAACCACATGCTTCAAAAACCAACAGAAAAGCATATACAAACTACAACTCATATTCCAAACAAAGATATTCAATTAGTAACTTCTTGAATCAATAGAAGCAGATGAAATTTAACAAAATTCTTTTGGCGAAATCAGTAAGAGGATGAGGAGCTGTAAGCTTTACCTGAAGGATGAGAGGGGCGTTTGTTTGTGTGGTGATAGGGGTGGGCAAGGGGTTTAGAGGAGGTTTTCGGGGCGAAGTATCGAAGGGACGATGCAATCAACCCTACACCGTTATCGGTGTGTGTTGATTGATTATTCTAGAACCAATGAATGAAAATATAGAACAAAGTCCCCGTCTCCTCTCTCTCTCCCCGTTGTGACCTTTAAATGTACGTATTTTTTATGGAAGTGAGGCTCTCAACAATCAATGTAGAGCGTACTTCCAATAGTGTCAAAAAATGGGGTTTCACTATACCTTCAAATAGTGTAAAAAATATAGTTTCAATATTAAAAATCTCTGTGATAACTTTAAAATATATTTCATTTTTAATTATAAAATTTAAAAAATAGGATCTACGAAAACCTGAAAATCTTGAAAATTTGAAATCTATTTTATTAGTCATGCCATGCATTTTGATGTTGAGATGATCAATTTGAAAATATTCGAACATCCAGATGATCGATTTGAAGATATTTCAACTTCAAAACAACTTATTCTAATGAACCTTTTTTTATAGGCACTCTAATTTGATTGTTTAGTGCCTCGTCCCTATATAAACTTTTTCCTTCTGTAAATTGTACCATTGGGGTTCATATGTTATCATCTTGCTCCTCTCGTGGTTTATCGTCAACAAGTATTTACTCATTTGCCTTTCCTTTCTCAAAAGACTTATTGACTTGATTTTCGGGGGGTAAAAATACAGGTGTCATTTATTCTACCTGTGTTCAATTGAATAAACTTGCTGCGGAAACCGGCCATGGGTCGGGTCCAAGTAACTTGTTCGAGTCGAGCAAATACCGGCAAGGCAAAAAATGTGTTAAAAGTTCAAAAAAAAATTAAAAAAAATGCGAAATATCTTCTATCTATCCATTTTATACAAGTAACATGGACATGCGAAGTGATAGTAAATATTCAACACTAATATATAATCACTATTGAAATATAAGTATTTTTAGAACTATAATTATAATAATAGACAACTAATAACTTAAACGTTGAAATGAACGATAATATTTATAATTTATATTATGAAATAACGTGGTTATTATATTTTAATTATTAGAATCAGATATTATTTTGCTACTATGATATATATGAGTATACAATTATAATTATTATATAACAATAGTATTTTATTATAATTTAAGTATATTATCTTCTATTTAAATCAATATTAGTTGTAGTACCAATTATTTTCTATCAATATAATTGTAGAGACTCCCGCGTGAGTTTATACAGGGAGGGATAGTATATTATCCTTAAATTTAAGATTTTCAATGATCTTTCTCCCATGAAGAAAAATATTTCATTATCTCTCTCCTTGATTTTCTTTCCATCTCCCGCTCTCATATACTCCTCTCTTTCTAAAAATATAAAAATCTATCTATTTTTTGGATTTCTCTCCATATCTGTCCTTTAAAAATATAAAAACTATCTATTTTCTTGATTTTCTTTCCATATATCTATCCTTTAAATATCTATTAGCTAAAAATCTCTAACTCAATTAATAAAACATCTCTATTAGCTAAAAATCTTAACTCATTTAATAAAACATTTTCTTAGATGTACTCTTTCATGGAATGCTCATTCTACCTTACGAATACCCATTTTTTCAATAGATTTGAGAGTTACATTTTGAAGGTATTAATTGGAGGTGTCAGCGGTAGGAATGGATATCACGATGTTGTAACTAGGTGTCGGGATGCTACCACCACAATCCTAACCCCTTTCTTACGGGAAGGAGATTCTTAGATAGAGAAATATGCTTAAATAGCCAAAATTATAGAAAGGACGTTTTGAAGAGAAACATCTCACGTAAATCATAGGAAGGAAATGGTACAGAGATTCAAATGTATTTCGTGAAAATCTTGAAGTCCCTAACTCTTAGGCATCCAATACCCTACATAAACTCTTCTCTTCAAAGGTTATGAACCTTACAATATCTCTGTATATAGGGTCTTTTTTTATTCTTACGACACATGTCTACTCCTTAACTCTGGCTTAATAATATATTATATTATTTATATGGGTGCAGTTTGTATAGAGCTGAGGCTTAAATAATCAAAGTAAAGTGTACCTTCAAATAGTATCGAGAAATTTGGTTTCAATTTACTGGAAATATTTGTGATAGCCTTATAATATATTTTCATCTTTAATTATAAAAATTAAATCCAAAAAAATATTGTAGATCGAGCAAATCTATGAAAACTTGAAAATTGGTGGTCCAAAAATGCATTACAAAATGCATCATTTTCAAAACTTGAAATCCATTTTTTCCTCAAGCCCATGCATCCTGATGTTGAGATGATCAATTTAAGGATATTTGGGCATCAAAAGAACCTAACATCCTAAATGTTGAGATGATCAATTTGAGGAAATTTGGGCATCAAAACAACCTCTTCCAATGAAATTTTTGAGGTGGGATCTAATTTGATTGTTTAGAGCCTCGACTCCGTATAAACTTTTTCTTATTTATATTTATATATTATCTATATAAGAAAAAAATTTATATAGAGCTGAGGCTCTAAACAATCACATTCGAGCCTACATCAAAAATTTCATTAGAAGAGGTTATTTTGATGTTCAAATATCCTCAAATTGATCATCTCGACATCAAGAAGCATAGACATGAGAAAAAAATGGATTTCACATTTTGAAAATAGTGTATTTTGTAGTGCATTTTTTATCGTCAATTTTCAAAATTTTCAAGTTTTCGTAGATTTGTCGATTTATACTATTTTTTAAGCTTTAAAATTTATAAATAAAAATGAAAAAATATTTTAAGGCTTTCACAAAGATTTTCAATATTGAAACCATATTTTTTGACACTATTTGAAGGTAAGCTCTAATTTGATTGTTTAGAGCCTAAGCTCTATACAAACTGCACCCTCTACATAAAGCAAGAGAAGATCGTACTTATTATCATGCTACATGTCTTTTTTTAAATAAATCTCCCTCTCTCTCTTCATTTGTCAAAAAATCTCTCATTCTCTCTCTTAATTTACTATTCTTTCCTCCTTTTCTCTCACGTTTATCTTTTCTATTTCTTAGTTCCATTCTTATCATTTACTGCTCTCTTTCTCTATTTTTGTCCCTTTCACCCTCTCTCTCTCTATATTTGCCATGTGTCGTTCATATATATATATATAGGGGAGCAACAATGTTAATCCAGATTGAATCTAGGCTGATCAAATGCTCACAATTGCATTTCGTATTTAAATTTTTATTTTTGTAGAAATCCAAATCACTTGAAATTTTGAGTGTCTATTCGTTAAAAATATGATAATCTATTAAAATATCAAAACAATAATTCACAAAAAATAAAGTAACAAAAAATGCCTCCAAAACGTTTTAGGGGTATTTTGGTCAATTTATGATTTGTGAATTATTTTTGAAATATTTTTATTAGATGTGTCTTGATGAGATAAATCGACAATTAAAATTTCATATGATTTAGATTTATAAAAAAATATTAAAATTATATTATAAAATGAAGTCGTGACCGTTAGATTAGCCCAAACTAACACTGTAACTATCGCCTAGTGAGCTAATAACATCTTTTCTATATATATATATATATATATATATGAGTAATGATCTTCTGAGACCCTCCCACACCTATGTGTGTAGGACCCTATAGGATCACCATTAAATTTGGCACATATCTCTAGGTGTGAGACTTGAA